AGCGTGGACCGCACAATTTAAAAGAGAAATCTCTTGCTAATCTTTATATTCGTGTATTTTGTTTGGGGAAACATAGTAAAGATGCACATAAACTTATACAATACAAGTAAAATTATTAATTAATATATGTTCTTTCGTTAATAGTAATATTGTACTATTATTATAAATGCTGAAAGAAATAAAATTATTTTAGAGTTCCAACAACAAAGAAAATCGCAGGACGCGATTTTGCGGAAAAAGCTTATTATATTTTACAAAATCGTTTACCACGTGAAAGTTCTGATTTTACAATAGAACGAATTAATTTATTCCTTGATGATATATCATCACAAAATAAAACTGTTCCAATAGATGAAATGTTTAAGATTTTATTAGGAAAAACAAATGCATTGGAGTTCAAATGGATAACACGAATTATTCTGAAAGATTTAAAGCTTGGTATTAGAAAAAAGAGGATATTAGAAGGTTCATTTTCTTATACATGGATTACTTAAGAATTGAAAAATAATATTTAAAAATAATCTACTTTTTTAATAATATGCTTCTTTAGTTTTTCATCCTGATGCAAATTCACTTTTTGATGTCTCATCTAATTTGCGTTATGTCTGTGATACATTGTACGATCCTCAGTTGAGATATCATCACGATATTAAAGTTTTTTCTCATTTTAAACCTATGTTACTGGAGAGGTGCAGAATTGAGGATATAGAGAAATTATTTAGTGAAGGAGAACAATATTTTGTACAAGCTAAATATGATGGTGAACGATCTCAACTGCACATGAAAGATGACAAATATAAATACTTTACAAGACAAGGATATGATATTACAAATAATTCTGGTTATGGAGAAACTAGTTCATCAGGTATATAAATTTATGTTTTTATTAAGATGGCATGTTTTATATGGTACTAAAATTTTGTATTTTAGGTTTTATGAGTAGTGTATTTGGTCGGCTGTTAAATCCACAAATTAAATCGGTAATACTAGATGGTGAGTTAATGGGATGGCACAAAGAGAAGAAAGTGCTAGGCTCTAAAGGAATGAGCTATGATGTTAAAAAACTCTCAAAAAATAGTCATCATCAACCATGTTTTGTTGCATTTGATATTATTATGCATAATGATGTTTTACTTGATAATGAATCTTACGAAAAAAGATTAGAAGTTTTAAAAGATGTATTCACAGAAGAAGAGGGCTGTCTTTTATTGTGTAAAACGATTAAAGTTTCCAATAGGTAATTAATTTATATTGAAAATTTGAAAAAGACAGTTTACATAGATATAATTATAATTTTACTTTATGTTTTTTTAAGTGAGGAGGTATGCAAGGTATTTAAAGAATGCATAAGGAATAAAGAAGAAGGAATAGTATTAAAAAAATGTGATAGTAAATATAAGCCAAATGTACGAGATAATAACGGTTGTTATAAAATAAAAGCTGAGGTAACTTATTTGTTAACTTCTTGTTAATACATTTTGATTTTTTATAAACAAAAATTTTTCAGTTTTCGGATGATTTGGTGCAAGATGTAGATTTAGTTATTCTCGGTGGTTATTACGGCGATGGAAAATTTATGGGGTTGATGAAAAGTTTTTTGATGGGAGTAGCTTCTCCGCCAGATATTCTTGGCGAGAACCCCTTAAAATTTATGTCTGTAGTGTCAGTCAGTAATGGGCTTTCTATGGATATATTGAAAGAATTTTGGAAAATGTTTGAGGACAAATGGCAAACAGAGTGTCCCAAAAATGTGGTTCCTCCTAGAGTAAGGGTTCGTAAATAAAAAATTCGTATACATAATATTTTAATATTAATTTTATTCTTCTAGCTAGATCCACCAAATTTATGGATTAGTCCGGAGAATTCTATTATTTTGACTGTACGAGCAACGGAGATCACACAAAGTAACGATTACCCATTGGGATATAGTTTACGATTTCCTAGAGTTAAGAATGTTAGGACTGACAAACCGTGGTATAGCGTTTGTACAACTAATGAATTGTTATCATTAATTAAGGTAATATTATTTGGTGATTTATACATATTTTATCATTGCAGTACACATAATATATTTAATTACTATTTAGGATACCCGGCCAATTCAGAAGTTAACAAAACGAGAAGTAAATTATGAAGATATAGAAAATGCACCCAAAGTTAAAATACGTAAAACAACAAAGCCACATTTATTAAAATTTGAAGAAACACCAACAACATCTAATACCTTTAACAATTCACCGATTCATCTTACCCGACTTTTCGATGGTAAAGAAATTTGCGTGATAAATGGCGATGATAAATTACCTAAGGAACAGATTGAAGAAATTCTTTTGCAACACAAAGCAAAGGTTGTTCAAACCCCCTCAAAGGAAAATTATTGTGTTATTGTTGGTAATATTAAAACGGTAAATATACTAATTATACATAATTTTCTGCTTTGATCTAATGATCAATAGGTCTTGAACAATCAATTTATTAAATAAAATTCTGTAGGCAAGAGCAAGTAGTATCATACAAAGTAAAAAGTATGATGTGATGACGTTAGACTGGTTCAAACGGGTTACCAAAGAAGAAAATTGGTCATCGCTACAAGATTTTCTACCATGGGACTTGATATGTAGCTGTGAATCAACGAAACATCGCTTGGAACAATTTTACGACGATTATTATGATCACTATACTGTAGATGCGGATGAAGAGAGTTTGTTACGATCCTTCAAACGAATTGAAGAAACGGTATTACTAAAAATACAATTAATTTATTGAAAATACAATTATTGTAAATTTTACTTCATATAAAATTATTTTAGGTAAAAAATGTTGAACTTAATTGCATAGAAGCGAAAGAAATAGATGAAGAATTATTTGTTGATGGAATATCACCCTATTCCTTATTTCGTGGTATGGTGGGATACTTTAATGATCAGTCAGATTGTGCAAAGTATGAATTTCGTTTCATGGCTGGAACTATTAAAGAAACTGTCGACGACTCTGTGACACATATTTTTGTTAATAAAAATTCCATCGAGTCTGAACTTCAAAAGTTGATTGACGATAAATCACAGACATCGTTAATGATCGTTAAAAGCGAGTGGATCAAGGAGTGCTTTAAGCAAGATGCAATTATCCCTTATTCAGAGTACCTGATTCAATAATCATTATATAATATACAACAAATTATGTATATGTACATATGTGCAATGATTTTTATGTATCTATATTTTATTCTGTACGGACAAAATGAATTTACCACACAATAAATCTATAAGTTAAACTACATAATGCTGTCTTTCATTTGGATGAAAGCGACAAATAAGAGTACAAGTATAATTTTGGAATCGAGTCATTAACAAAGAAAATTTGGCGTATAAGTGTTACGTGTATATTTGTAACATGAACACCGAAAATAAATAGATTCATTTTGGCTTATATTTTCGTTAAGTGCTAAAGAAACTGGGTACTAGGTGGAGTGACAGTTGGACAGTTCGCTCATTTAACATCCCGTTTCGAAATATTTCTTCTCCGTTGAAGTCGGCACCCTTGCTGTTCTCGTTTTATTTCATCGGAATGCGTGCAAAATACGAGGCGAAAGGGACGCAGCTGCGACGTTTCCTTTACAAAGCCTGCCATTCAGAGAGATTCTCGAGTAGATTAAGATGAGAGAACTTTGGAAAAAAGGTTTTGCAAGTACGGATATCAATACCGTTGACCAATATGTTTTTCTTACGTTATTAAGGAAAATGCGAAGGCGAGATTCAGAAATCTGCTTCGATTCGAATATTACTTCTATTCGTTACTACTATTGCCAATTTATAAGAAAAAAAGAAAAAAGAACACGCCAATTTGTAGTTTACAAACTTGACATCTACATCGTGAGTATAATAGTGAGCATGTTTTATTTAACTTTTATAGAAACACGAAAAACTGTATGACACAATGTTAAGAAAATACATTTTTATAAAATAGAAAATATATAGTATATACCACCTATGAATAATAAAGAAAATCTATATTCAAAAGTCTGCGGTTACGCACGACAAAGAAATGAATCGTTTCATTTCTTCTTTTCTTTTTCTGGTCCTTTTTCTTTTATATCGACGAAATTGTAGTTAAAGATTTTTGGCAAAGATGTATATCGCGGTATCGCGTGATGTATGTATAGTGTTAACCATCGCGGATATCTCGTTAGCGTAAAGGAAGGTTTCGTCTACCAGGTCAGAACATAATATATGAATATGACTGACGTTCGTGTCCGTGGAAGATCTACTTATAGACTCTTCACCTACGGACACGACGCATATTAATCGAGTTTCAGATTTTCCAAGCGTCCAACGGGACGCGTCACTCCTTTGCACCACGTCCAATTTATTCACGGAGTTTCAGTGCTAACTCGGTACCTGCCAATTACGTGTACTCGTTACTGTTGTTGCTTGCGCTTCATCGTCGCACGATAAATTTACGATTTAACTACGTTCACGCTTGAATTCCGTGTTTATCGATGGTTCTACTAAAAGAATCGTTTAAGTCGTATACGTTACTTTCGCGAATGTTACAAAACACGTCTGTATTGATTTTTTCTTTGAAAACGATCTCGAAGCGTAAAGCACGGCTGTGTTTTCTCACGTATTTTTGTCGTTAAAATATACTCCTTGCGTTAATAATCTCGGTTCTCTTTCCTTTTTTTCTTCGTTTTTGCTACTTCTTGATATTCCATCTAACGTGATGTTCATCCATATATATTATCCTCTTTTTTTTCTTATCAGGAAATTTCGGTTTTCTCCATGTTTTTAACATTTGCCTCGATTCTCTGTCTGTTTCTTCCAAGCTGTAATCTTCTCTGAATGTCGACGACGACGACAACGAGCCCGAAGATGGACTGGAAGTGAGACACAGGCTTGTTCCTTTTCCTTTCCATCTTTGTACGTTGGTACACGAAGAAGAAGAAATTGGTTCCTGTTTATGACAAACGGATCTCTCTGACAACACTGTCCAAGAATGGCATCGTTTCGACGAGGATAAACTCGATGACGAGGACATCAGAGAAGCTGGATCTATTCTTGTCTTGTACTTATTATACTTGTATTGACCACTTAAAGGTGCCGCGTAACGTTGTGACTTATGAGAGTTGCATGGACATGTTGCTTGATGGTCAGGAACAGATCTCTCGAAAGTACTCCTAGAAGTTGTCGATGAAGTATACGCCGAATTCGTTGAATTCTTCGATCCGCTGGATTTTCTGTTCTTGAAAATGACCAAAGTCGGTTTCTCTTTGCATTGCAACGATTGTGATTTCCATTTGGACGAACGTATCCCGTGAAGCGAAGAAAATTTACAATCAACCATCATATCGCTTTTCTTGCTCGATTTTACATACTCGTACGGATAATCGTTTCTCTGAGATTGTACATTCACAGAAAGCATCTTGTACTGCGGTTGTGCTGACGAATCGGGGCGTAATTGCGCCGAAGAACGTTTCTTAACGTTATTCCACTCATTACGATCACGTACTCTGAAAAATGAAAACACGTTTTATCGCCATCGAGGATAAAATTAAATCACACAACAAAATGTTACATTAAAGAGCGATAAAACTAACTTTGCGTCGCAACAACAACTTTGACAATGAAATTTTGGCAACTTTCTCTGGCTCGTAGCATTCTTTTGCCAAGCAATAGTGCAGATACTTTTCTGTTGTACTCCTAAACCGTTTTCAATGTTACGATTCGGGTATTTCTGCAATCTTGAAGCTGATTGATGTTTATGCATGAAATGTTTTGAATTGTATTTTTGCGCTTGTTTCAAGGAAAACGTCCGTACTTTGTCCGAGAAGTTATCCATAATCTCATCAATGTCTAATTCTCGGTGCGAGTTAATCTTCTCTGTGTTTTCTAAATTGAATTTAAGAGTTAGTTTTGGCTCGATGGTTTTACAAGACTTTAAGCAATCTCTTGATGATTGACTCTTAATAGAAGGAACACATTTGTTTTGCAATTTGTTGTACAATATCGAATCCATACAACTGTCTGTGATAATCGTTTCACTTAAATTCGTGTCACTTTGCGAAAGCGTTCTATTCAAAGTCTTCTTGGAAGAATTCTTCAATGAATCATTTTTATCAATGTTACACAAATTATTTTCCTTCTTGAGAGTTTCAATCGTATCTTCGTTAATGCACCTTGGAGAAAGACATTTATTATCATCACAGATATCTTTCCTCTTTTTATTCTCTTTGGATTTATATTCAATCTTTCGAGGAGATAACCGGGGGATATTGTAACTGTTGCAAGACTTGTTATCACGAACTAAGGGAAATTCAAGCTTTATTTGTTTTGTTAAATCCTTTTCGTCAGTATCCACATTCAAAGCAACAGTACACTCTACTTTCTTCTGCAGGATATCTGCTCTCTTTTCTTTTCGTTCAACATTACAACAACGTTCGTCTAAGGTTTCCTCTGCAGGTTCATGTATCACTTCTATAATTCTTTTTTTTGTATCAATATCCTTTTTATCACACCCTTTCCAATAATCAGAAATGACCTCCTGAGAAACACGCAAGTGAACACAAGTCTGTCTATGTCGCCTTCTTCTCATTAATTTCTGAGCGGACACGAGTCCGCTGCAATGGCGAAAAATACAGTGTCCAATTTGCCGTTTCCTTCGCACACTCATGGTTGATTCTGTTGGCTAATTCGACGAAAACGAAAGAAGGAAAAGAAGAAGAGCATTCGTCGTTAATACAATTATGTCCTATCGTAAAACACTATTCTCTTTTACCTTGGTTCTTCGATTCAGCAATGATATACAGCAAGCACAATTTACGGACGATATGTCTGCAATCGAAGTAACCACGAGATCACTGAACTGTTGTACGGTGATAATCATTCACGATGGTAAGACTTACAGCGATTTGCTAGGGAAGTCGAAATTACCATTGTCATTTTTAGGGAGACCTTTGCATAATGCAAGTACAGTCTCCGATAGTATCGCAGGATCGTTCTCCAGAAACCATTCTCTTATCGTCGTATACCCTAGAAATCATAAATTATGCGTTATTATATAAAGAGAAATAAGATATTCCATATCGATCATTAATAGTAGCGTATTCTTACATGTCCAAACGTTTTCTACACCCGCAAGCATAGACCTTTGTCCGCGCTCTATGAAGAAATCAACGAAATTTAAGATTAACACTTAATAAGATATTTTTGGATGAATATTATAAGATGATTACGTGCTTACCCACGCTTGCATTCGCATCTGCCTGGCCGTCTAAGGGGCAGAAATTAGTACTAAGTATTAGAACTTATGATTATGCTATACGCATGATATTGCTGGTCATACGATACGTGATATTCTTTAGGATTTCACGATCAAGTGTATATTGTATTTACACATAATGAATAAAAAGATTATGCTTATTACGAATGAAAGTTAGAACGATCCTTGGAGAAATCTCGCACGTATGACCAACGTGACTCACTTCTCTCCTCTTCGCCGAAAAAACTCTCTCATTCTTGCTCTGCACAGACAACTGTATTCCCTGTAACATGCGTATTATACATACAATTTTTACGGGCGTCGCTCTTTTGTTTATTTTCACGGTTTGGAGCTCGTTTATAGCGGAAATTCACCTCTCTTTTAAGAAGACCACGTAGAAGAAGAGCATTCCTGTGAAGCCCGCGATAAACTTGCCCAAGTACCAAGCAAAATTGGTAGTACAGTGGGGCATCGCAACGCGTCTGATCACTGGTTATTCACCAGCACTCCAACTACATCAAAGGGCCAAAAAATGTACACTTATTTCAACCCTTTGCACTCGGAATTTTCTTCAGCTTGTTACGCATATATTATAAATGAATTTAATTATTAGGTCGTCTAATATGAAATATCGGATATCTAATCATTCGCAAATTGATCGGTCAAGTGATTACTTGAAATGTTGAAAAATTCCAAATTTTTTCCTGCTCACCCTTTCGTGAATTACTTTTTTGCAAAAATTTCTTATATTTATCTACCGATTAACGTGTCTGTAACGGATACTTTAGATCAATTTTCGTCCTAATATGTATTCAAGTGGGACATGTGTCCCAAAAATCACGAAAAGGGTTAACTTAAAGTTGATCCAATTCTTGATAAGTTACTATCGCCGAATCTAAGGATAACGTTTGTTTGAATATCCAAAATCACTTTCACTCCTCCCTGAAAAATACATTTCATATTACACGATCTAATAACTTTCCGCCTATCCAAATTTCGACAAACAACGGAACTTTGTCTAAATTTTATCTTGCACAAATACGAATTCGATAATGTATCAAATATGTGTTAACATTTTACCTTGGATCAATGAAACGATATATATGATCGAGTAGTATCTACTGTATCGATTCCTCATGAATGATCGCATTACAAGGTCCGCGATAACGCATCTTATGAATCTAAACGCACGTGTGTCTGTGTATATGTGTGTATCTCGAGTTTCTCGTCGGGGGGGTTAGTTGGTCGTTATCGCGATGTTTTCTTCGCTTGATTTATCGTTTGAATTTTGAATTGCATAACATGTTTGCAACATTGGGTACCGCTTCGCTCCTCTTCCGGCGACGCGCATTTGAGAGAGAGAAAGAGGCACACACGTTACGCCGTGAGAATTTTCAACCGTGCGGAACTTATCCAACTGTCAGATTGATGGATTTATTAATTTTCGGATACCACGATCTCAGGGGTAACCGCGTCGCGTGAACAGACTCGAACAAATGCAAAGTGCGTCGATTTGCAAATGTCAAGAGTTGTCAGAAGAGTGAAAACGTTGCCTACTTCCGATACTCGATTTTAGGATACATCTTCTCTTTTCACTCTGGTTATTTCTCAACGAGGTTATTTCACGTTGTTGATCAAACCAGAAGAAGAAGAAAATGTATCTATTCTCCTTTCGAAAAAAAAAAATTCTTTAATTTTTCATTTAAACTACCTTCTTCATTATTGTCCCGCAAAATTAACCCTCTGTAACACCATAATGCGTTACATTGCTGTACTGTTACATTATTACTAGTCAATTTCTTCGTAATAATTATCCATATTCTTCATTCTCGCTTCTCTCGTGAATATGTAAGATTGCAACCGAACCGAATGGTTCTCTTCCGAAGAAGGAAGAAGAATCGGGTTATAGAGGGTTAATTAATTCTCTTGTTAAAATTCTTTAGTTAGAGACACGACGTTTTCACGCAGGAGAAGGGCCAATCTTAGCTTTGGATATTCTGAGGTGCAACATCTCCTCGGTCATGCATCTATACAGCGAAGAAACTGTCGTGGTCTCAACAGCAGAAAGATGTTGAATGACCTGTCAACATATTTGCCGTACTGACAACACCCTCTAGGAGCAAAGCTGTCCATGTCGATGGGAAAAAGGGAAGAACGTCTAAAGTGACACCCCTTCGTTCCACGCTCATTAGGGCAAATTCCTCGGTGCGTTTCACGCGTGCCTACCGGCGGGGATGTAAATTTAAACTTGTCCGATCTTTCTGTTCCTGTCGTCGTACATTCTGATAAAAAAAAGAAAAAAATCCTCCACTTCAGACAGTTGTCATTTTTTTTATTCTTTTGAAAAAAAAAGGGGACAAACCTTTCTTCTATCCAAGATCGTTTGTGTTCGAATTTCGAGATTCTCTCGAGGGAAGAAGTGGTTCGTATAATATTATAGATGAAACGGTGGCCAGAGTGAGGCTTTCGTCCAGAAAGACAAGCATCACACGTTCGGTTACAACTAAAAATATGATATCGTCGAAGTATCAGAAAACACACGATGGACAGTGCAATCCTCCTGCCCCTTTTCATCCTATTGCGTACTGCAAAAATAGAAGAGAGAGAATCTCGTTCGACTAACAACGGTACACACCGCCAGCTGCGGCCACATGGCATTCTTTCTGTGATCTTGCTCTAAGAGCTCGTTAATACGATCCTCTCGGATGTTGCCAACGCACAGTTAATATTAGTTTCGAGTATGTTTTCTTAACGTATGAGTGTTCTTTCAGTCTGTTGTACCGCTTAAGTACCACAAGAGAATCCTGAATGTTATGTTTTTCCCTTGTTTTTCGAGAAAAATCTATATACTCCGGGGAGAGGATGTGTCACGACTCGTCGGTTTACGTTTCAAAGGGGATGGCCGAATATCGTGAAAAGTATACCGTTCTTCTTTCTTTCTCACAGAGAGAAGATATAACAAACCTGTATTCTGACTTTCATATCTGGATGAATATTGGAACGTAAAAATGAATTTGAAAATTTGTTCAATGAATAATTTTTCAAAGAGTGACTTAATTAATTTCAACCTGACGATGACAAATTGATGCCATCTTTGTTTTTCTTTTTTATCGAACGTAAGCGAGCAAGCGTATTTCTGTTGCTCGCGAGCGAACCAGTCATGCTCGATAAATCTTCACCGTTTTGCGTAAAGTCACTCCTCATGGTCTATTCCTTCACGTAAGATCGATACGATTCTGTCACGGAGCCTGTAATCAAAGAAGTCGTTCGCATTTAACGAAGATCTTTGCCTTTTTCTCGAGCTGATACAAGTTGACGTTAATAAGAAAAACGAGAGATGCAAGCTGCCCTCGATTGGCTCATGGTCCACGAAGGTGGCGGAGTTTCATCGCGTTTCGAACCAATCCGGGCATGTTCATCCTCTAAAAATACATTTTGAATCGGTAGGAGGAGATGTGAAGACACCTCCTTCGACGAGGGAAAAAGATTCCTCTATGTATATAACTCATTCAACAGTGCACACCGACTGTTTCATCGGGTAGAGTCTTACAGAAAGCTGGAAAAGAGGGAACAAATTTCACTAAGGGTGTTCCGCGAGATTATTACGATAAACCGGTTCTAACTCACGCGATTTCTTTTATGCCGTTATTACAACCGAGCTTTACCATCTGTTCGATTCACCATTACGTTACGATACGTTACGATTATTCGATTGCGCGGTAATTCGAGATCGTATTAATATATATCGATTGTTCGATCGATGTAGTGAAGATTTAAACGCTTGAAACCTGTGTATGCTGATTTGACATGTTACACAAATGTATTCCATACAAGCGTTCATTTCTATGATAATTCTTACGATGTTTCATGAATAAATTTCACACAACAGGAAATAACAATTATTCGTGAATTTTCAAAGAGAAAGAAGAACGAATTGGACAGAGGGAGTACGACGATAGAAAATGAAGACTGAGAGTGGTAATTCGAGTCAAGTGAATTCTGGGATGGAGCAACGTTTACGGAGTCCAAAGTGCGCTAGATGTCGGAACCATGGTGTAATATCAGGTCTAAAGGGTCACAAGAGATCGTGTGCATGGAAGGATTGTCGTTGTCCTTGTTGTTTGCTGGTGGTCGAGAGGCAACGAGTGATGGCCGCGCAAGTCGCACTTCGAAGACAACAGCAAGCCCAAGGAAATTTTTTCGGCGAAAACATATCGACGGTTTGTCATACGCCAATCGACTCAACTGGTTCACCGTATTTACTGAAGGCTGATCAATCACCAGCCTGTCGAAGAGGAAAGAATTTTCAACGTCATCAATTGCACTTCACTCAGACCAGTATTAGCGTGACGCAAGGATTTTACGGTTTGAAGACGATTCACGGTTTACCTGCAGCATGTTAGTATTTTCAGGATAGATTAACGGAAAGAACGAATGAAGATATATTTTTTCTTTTCACTTTTGAATCCTTGTTTCTTTTTATATTCATCGACAAATCTCGATCTTTATATTCGTCGTTACCGATCAAAATAGGGGTGTGTTAGTTTACTTGGAAATCGTAAAAGATAACGCACACGTGGTACCAGCTGTTGTTAATATACACAAAACTTTAAAGGAACGTAGTTAATACTTTGTTATAGGCAAACATGAATTATTTACAAATTATTTGCTACGAGATATTTTATTTGCTTCTTAATTTCATACTTTTTGTACATTAATGGTATTCGTTTATTTTAGTTACCGCAGATGCACCACTGTTGAACGGTTTGTCACAGAATCAAGAATATAAACAGGAACACGAAGATTCGAAGAAATTACAGGCTTATCCAACTATGTATTCCACGATTCCGTGGTTTGAACAGGTCACGGAACCACGTAAGGTAAAGAAGAACTTTAATAATTTCGCTTCCGCCGTGACGAATCACAATGATATTTCTGCGACGAAAAGCGGACCTTGCTTGGAAAAAAAATCGACGATCTCTTTTAGCGTAGAATCTATCATTGGAACAAAGTGATACCGGATGAACGATTATCATATACGAGATTGCATTTCATTACTGTAAATAGGTATTATCTTCATGGTTTGTTAAGCTTTATTAACTTATCGACAATAAATGTAAAATGCGTGAAAATTAATTTTTCAAAATCTCGAATTATCATTTTACGAAATTATACCTATATATGTACACATTTCCATATCCTTTCTTCCACACGTACAATGTTGTTTCATGATGGTAATTCTATATATAGGTAATAAAAGGTTTTTAATTTGTTATATGTATTTAAAATACACTATTTTTGTTTAACATTATAATATATTTACAACATAATCGGAAGTAATTGTACTAAAACTTAAATATTAGTTCGTGATCATGAATATCTTAAATATATCAGAAACGCTTAAACAACAAATGCATAGATACACTATGCCTTACGATTTATGTGTTAAATTAATAAAACATACAAGAATACATTCAATTTACATAAGTATAGAACAATGAATAATTTAATATATTTGACAAAAAACGCTTAAATAACTATTACCGGTCATTTGGTGCACTAGATTTCATAAAATAAACTCCACAGACAAATATGTTTCTGCTTGTTATTTATCGCTTTCAAGTGTCTTGCTACAACGTTTCATATATGTCTCCATCTCGGCAAAATCGGATAAAGTAGTGTGAATTATTTCATATAAAATACTTGGCCATTTATTTTCAAGTAACTGTAACTTTTGTATTGCATCTACAGTAAGGTTTATTAAATTTAGAAAATTTGTTAAGAGTATTATTTTATTACCTGTGTTATACTCCCTTTCCTCCATTGCAATGCTTCCTTAGCAACAACACTTCTAAGAGCTGGATCACTGTTAAGTAAAAATTGTTTGGCGGTAATTTGTTCACCAATTTGTCTTTGCACTTTTTCTAAATGAAGTCTTTGTAGTAAAGGTTGTAACAGAGACTCTGGCAGTGAACACATCACAATATCAACAAGACCAGCATATTCTTTGTTTGCTAAATCAATGTCCTCATTTGTAATCTGTATTTTTAAAAATAACATTTGTTGATAAAAAAATTAGTAATAAATACGAATTTGTTATTCTTCATCTTCTATGTCGTTTCTCATAAGTTGAAAAATATTTACCTCTTTTCCATTAATAATTTTTAAACCCCAATGAGCTAAACGAAATATGGCATAAACTTTCCAATCCTTTGATATAATTGGATTTCCTGTCTCTATATGAATACTTGTTAATCCTTGCACCTCAGCTAAAGCATTAAGCTGTCCAAGGTAACTGATGTTAGTTTCTTTAAACATAAAATGTTCTATGTTTGGAAACCTATTTTTTATTTTACATAAAACTTTGGCTACATCATTAAACTGTACATAATTAAATTTAACTACATTAACGTCTTGAGCTTTTGAAGAGTCCCATGGTCGGTCGATAAAGCGTAATGCACCTTGACCATAAATATTCAAACAACGGCCAACTATTTCTATTAAATAATCTCCTCCTATAATAAATTATCAATCTCAGTTTTACATTTGCACCAATGATGTATCAGACATACCTTCATTATTATCTCATACCTTGTTCTCTTTCTTTTGGCGGATTTTGTAATGGAGCAGGCGCTGGTGGTGTTACAGCTCTGTATTTAGCTCTAGCAGTTGCTGCTCTATTACTTTTATAACATACTATTTTTTTTACTTGTGCACTTTTCACCCTATTAGTATCTTTCTCTGAATTTTTATACTTTTGTAATACACTTTTAGTAGTGGATGATGTACTACAATCACTTAGTACTGATTTACAGCTATCAATGCTACTGGTTTTAGAACTTAAAGAACAATATCCAGAGGAGCCAATGCTTGATTTTGATTGACAATCACTTGAACCAAGCTGACTATGAAATTTGATACCTTGGGATGTTTCTGTCAAATCTTGCTTTTTATTTATTTGTGGCTTAGTAGATTTAAATATTTCATAATACTTGTTATCTCTTTCATTAACAATTTCTGGTGGTGAATAAACATTTATAGAATCAAATGTTCTATTATTAACAATCTTATTAATATTACATGGAGAAATATAATTTTTGGACTTCAATAATTGAGATTTTAAACAACTTTTCAAGTTGTCATGACTTCCCAATATTTCTGATTCACTACTTGATGTACTATCGGTGTCACTTCTAGCTTTTACTTTCATTAGACTTCTTTTTACTTTTTCATCAAATTTATTATTTATTAGACTATCTACAATAGAATCTAAAATTGGTGGGAGTTTAAATTCTAATGGATATGCTTTAGTTGTATCTTTTAATCGAAATAAATTGTCACTGGAATTACTTCTTCTTTTTATATTTATTTTTGTTGCTTCTATGTTTTCATTTATAGATGTTAAACTCCCAAAGCCTTTTGATTTTGCTTTTTCTAAACTCTTGGGTTTTAGCATATTAAATTTATTTGATTTTTGAATTTGCACAGCATTAACATTACTGTTTTTATGACTACTGTCATTTGTAGAAGATTTAGAATGACATCTGAGAAATTCCCAATTTATTTTGGCATTTGATATAATTTCATCTCTCTGAGCACTCATACAAACCTGTGCACTAAGATTTAAAAAAGTAGAATTACTTTGTTCTTTTGTTGTTCTCCAAGCTATGGCAGCTCTTCGAATTTGCTCAGTAACTGGCATATTTGATAAAATTTGTAAATTTGGTAAATATGATACAAAAAAAGAAACATAATCTCTATACAGTGTTATAGGATTTCCATCAATTGTTATTTCCTTAATTTGTAATGCTTTAGCAATACTTCCTATATCTTCAATTCTGAAATATCAAATATTGTGGAATAAATAAAATTATCAGATATATTATAATCTGTAAGTCATACATTGTACTTTTCTTTTATACAAATATGAATTTGGAAAATACTTACTTATAAATGTCATTGTTACTTAAATATAACTTTTGTAGTTGTGGTGTTTCATCAAAACCTAATAATTTTTTGATTTTATTACGTCTAAGGTTTAACTCTTTTAATGATGTTAAACCTTCAAAATCATGGTAGCCTATGGCTTTAATATTGTTTCCAGCTAAATTTAGAACTTTTAAAGACACAAGGTTGTTTAAATCTGAAATTTGTACAATTTGATTGCCATGAAGGTCTAAAACTTCTAATTTACAAAGTTGTTTTATCCCTTCAATCCTTTTTATTCTATTTTTTCCAATCAATAGTACTCTTAAATTCTCTAATACTTCCAAATTGCATATCCTTTCAATTTGATTATCGTATAAGTCAAGAAATACTAATTTTGTCAGCTGAGAAAAATTACAATTCTCAATCTTTGTAAGAAGATTATGTTGGAGAGAAAGTAAACGTAAACGTGGCTCTCCAATTATGTTTGGAAATGTTGTAAGTCCTCGTCTATCAAGACATATCCTATCAGGATTTTTTTCTCTCTCTGCAGCTGTTCTTGTTGCCACAATAGTCTTTCCTTCGCTTGTCCATTGTAAAGTAACTGTATAAGAACCATCAACCTTGTCATGTTCTATGTTATAAGGAGAATCTGCTGGACTGTATACAAAATTTATATAAAAATTTGTAAATTTTTAATATTATAAAATATATAAACATATAAAAATTGTTACATCCAAAGAAACAATTCCAAATTAAAAATATGTTATATACTAATTTTTTAAGTACCTAAATAAGTTATAACTACGTTTAGATAACTTTGGTGGTATAGGAGCTCCAGGTAAAATTGGTAAAGCAGGAGCAATTGTTAGAAAATTATTATCTTGTTGATTATTTATGTGAGTTCCTACTGATTTTCCTTTAATTCCCTTTATACCAAAGGCTACTGTTTTCTTCTAAAGTATGAAATAATAATATTCAAATTATGCAATAATATATATTGTAATAATAAAATTAGGAATTCATAATCCTGTGTATTGTAATACATAAATCTTAATTAGAGATCAACCTATATTTTAATTAGAGATTTAAATATATCTAATTATCAGTACTGCGAATTATGATAAGTAAAGTCCACTAAGATACTATAATTTAATCGAACCTACCCGCGTTGTTTTATCGTTGTTTACTGGCATTACATAACCGAAACATAGAAGAACAATTAATACATTATTCTACAGATTTATGAACTTAATTTTAATCATTTAA